TATATTTTGGAATAGTATTTTAATGGAGATTGTGTGGTTAAAAAATAAGAAAAAAATTTTGAATTTACGTGTGACATTATTTTATTAAAGAATATGTGGTTGAAAATAAAAGAGAAAAAAATATATGTTTGAAAATAATGATGACCGATTTGATGTGGCTTAAAATTTTGTTAAAAAGTTAAGTTAAAATCAATAATTAATTTTAATCACATATTTTATGTGACCCACAACTTTTCGATCACATTTCATTAACATTTTTCAAAATCTATTAAAACTTTGATTTTAGCCACATGAAACAAGGGCATAATATCACAGAATGTATTGTTCAAGTCGAGCTATTTGGAAAAGCTTAAATATTGCATAATGGGTATAAAATGGTCATTGAGCCACTGTTTGACACACATTCTTTTAAAATACATTTTTTTAAAATTCATTTCTAGCCACACATTCTTCAATAAAATAATATTTTCAATTATATCAATAATTTTTCTTATTTTTTAATCACATATTTCTTATCATATTATTATTTAAAATACATTATTTTCTCAATAATATCCATCAAAACCCCTTGAGTACCTTTTCTTAGCCATTGTTTGATTTTGATAAAATATATAGTTGAAAAGTTTTAAGTTTCGTAAAGTATACGTGTAAAATTAATTATTAACTTTGACTTAAATTTTGATCGAAATTTTTCTACGAAAGAAACATGAGCTTAATAAATGGAGGAGATAAGGTGTAGGGTCTCACATTATTTGGGGCTACATTTGATTTCAATATCAGGAGTCTGTTCTTGTTTATGTTGGAGACAACATGTAATCTTTGACAAGATCTGATGAGAGGGGTAAGTGCATACCTTTTTAGTTTGAAAATTGCGTTTGCCAGTCAATCTAATCTTCTCGAAATTGAGTTGAAGCTGTCAAACACTGAAACTCACCTATCAAATTCTCATTTTATGGAACAAGTCATTTTCATATGAAGGCGATTCATTGATCAAGGCAGCAATGGGCTATCAACCACGAGCAATGCGAAGTGCACGGGTAAAAATTACTGTACAAGAATAATTGTTTAACAACCGTAATCCATATATTTTGTAAGACGGAGTAGCTATGTATTTGAATAAAAATTCTTTACACTAAGTATTCATTTTTAATCACAAATTCACACAATAAAATATTCAGTAAACCAAAATTTTTCATACTTTTTAATCATATGTTCATCAAAAAATCACTATTCGAAACAAAATTCTTCCAAATAATGGCCATCAAACTAAGCTCCCGTTTGGTGTAGATTAAAATCAGATTTTTAGTATATTCTGATAAAAGTTGATTAAATGTGTTGATGAAAAGTGGGGGGAGCCATAAAATATACGATTAAAATTAATTGTAGACTCTAACTTAAATTAAATATCCAACACATAAACTCAAAATTTTCCATATTTTTTAACTACATATTCATCAAAAAATCACTATTCAAAAAAAAAAATTCCAAAAAAATGGCCATCAAACTAAGCCCCCGTTTAGTGTGGATTAAAATCAAATTTTTAGTAGATTTTGA